CCATTTTTCAAGTGTCATTTTACATAAATGCCACACTTTTGAAATCTTTACAAAAATGCCACTTTTTCAAAATTATTTTTTCTTTATATTATTTATGTTTGGGTTAATTATGTTCTATTAGGGTTTAGTTTTGAGTGTTTAGTGGGTTTTAGGTGTCAAAACATTTTTTAGGGTTTAGAATTTTAAGATATATGCTTTATAAATCTATAATTAGTGGTATTTTTGTAAATAGACACCCCTAAATGACATTCTTAAAAATGTGCACACAAAAAATGATATTTTTGTAATTGTCCCTTTAATTTATCCCTTCGACTTTCTCTCTCTTTTCGAACTAAATCGAAGAATATGAGATTTAGTTTCACAAACTAAATCTACCTTTATGCAATGTCCAAAAGTTATTTAAATTAATATTCCCACAAGACGAATCGAAAAGGTCGTTCGTGGGGGCCACTCATCTTCTTGTAATATTTTGACAAAGTTCCATTGTTGAGTTTTTTTTTTGCCTATACTCAATATAGAATAAAATATATAAAATTCTGTATCAATTTAACGTTTTAAAATAATTCTCTAGCAATTTGTACTTATTTTAATAGGAAAGAGAAATTTCAAAAAATACCACTTTTAAGTGCTACTTTACAAAATACCATATTTTTAAAATCTTTATAAAAATGACACTTTTCAAAATTATTTTTTCTTTATATTATTTATGTTTGGGTTAATTATGTTCTATTAATGTTTAGTTTTGAGTGTTTAGGAGGTTTTAGATGTCAAAACATTTTTTAGGGTTTAGAATTTTAAGATATAAACTTTATAAATCTATAATTAGTGATATTTTTGTAAATGGACACCCCTAAATAACATTCTTGTAAATATGTACACAAAAAATGAAATTTTTGTAATTGCTCCAATTAGAAATAAGATTATAAATAACTTTTTTCGTGCAATTTAGAATTATTTTTTTGATATATTTTTTCATGCTGTAAATATTTCAATTAAATTTTGCCACATATCATACAAATCTTATTTATTTTAAAACTTATATATTTGTATTTATCAGTTAGATTATGAAATTCAATATATATCAAGATTGTTCTTCAATATTGATAATACATGTTTAAAATTTTTTTAGTTCAATTAAACTTAGGTTTACATACCCAAATCATTGTAGATTAAAATATTTTGATTTTATATAATAAGCATTTCTACTTTCTTAATCTTCTCGTCAAACAATTTTAAATTTCGATAATCTCTTCCACGAATTTTATTTCAGTTTTTTCATTAGAAAATAACAATTATCCTCTTATTCGATATGTGAAATAGATTACAACGATCTAATTGTAATATTTTCATTCGTTTCCTGTAAATTGCAAACTAAAAATTTGTGCATCATTCGCTTCTTGCAAAATTTGGGAATCAATTATATGAAAGAAATCTTCTTAATATTTGTAATTTTAGTTTACAACTAAAAATATGAGATTTAATTCGTCAAAATTTTGAAAAAATAGATATATGAGTAGAGATACATTAAACAAAGATTAACCTAATTCAATTAGAAATAAAAAAAATAATTATTTAAAAATATTTGACAAATTCAAATGAAAAAAATATTATATATAATAAAAGACTAAAAAAAACTTAATAACGATGAAATTTCTCTTTTAGTGGTCTTGCACTTTACAGTTTTGTTCTTTTCAAATATTATAAATTATTTATAGAACTGAAAATTTTAAATAGAAAAATGAGTAATTAATTCAAATATTTTTTTTAAATAGAGTAGTTAAGTAGTAAAAACTAAATTACTTCATATGTGAATATAAAAAAAAATAATTACATGAAAAATTTAGGAATTACTTGGAAACTAAATAAAAAAACAACCATGATAAAAAAAAGTAACTCTGAAATTATTTTATATCAATATTTTTGTTTTTATTTGTTTATTTTCATGGGTGATTTTTTTTTTGGAATTTTTTTCGCACGTTATAAAATATTGAGAAATTTCAAAAAATACCAGTTTTCAAGTGTCACTTTACAAAAATACCACATTTTTACAATCTTTACAAAAATGCCACTTTTTCAAAATTATTTATTCATTATATCGTTTATGTTTGGGTTAACTATGTTGTATTGGATTTAGTTTTGAGGGTTTAAGGGGTCAAAAGATTTTTTGTGTTTAGAATTTTAAGATTTAGACTCTAAAAAATCATAATTAGT